ACCCTGGGGCGTCAGTGGGGAAGCCAAGGAAGACACAGGGAGCAGCACGAGGGGACAGCTTGTCCGCAGACAAGTCGCGGACAAACGCCCGAGATCCCCAGACACGGAACACAGACGCATCGCCAACCTTCCCCGTCCACAGCAAGACTGGGGACATCGCAGGCCGAGAGACCCGGGGGTGAAGGTTGAGCTGATGCGCCGCGTACCTCACCGCAAACGGCCACAGAAAATGGGGGGCAGCCGCATGCATCATGGACGTACGAGCGACATCCATGACCATGCCAATGCGGCGCTCAGCAATCCCATTTTGCTGTGGTGAGTCCGGAAGCGTGAAGGTCTGGCGGATCCCCCGTGCACGACAGTAGTCTCGCAGAAGGCGAGAAGAGAACTCTCCGCCTCTGTCAGAGTGCAGACGCAGAACAGGAAAGTCCGAGCCGAAGCTCTTCCTGAGCTGGAGACGAGCCTCGCGGATCCAGTCGATCAGCACCTCAGTGACCGCACCCTTGCTGCGCAAGGGGAGGACTGTGGTGTAACGCGAGTAGTCGTCAACCACCAACAGGAAGTAGCGCTCGTAACCCTGCCCACGGACGGGGGCAGGGCCCCACACGTCCATGTGAAGCGTCTGCAGGGGAGCCTCTGTCGGGGGGAAGTGGGAGGAGTGAGGAGTAGCCCGGAGGCGACCCTCAACACAGGGGACACAGGAAGGTCCTGGCCCGGAGGGGAGAGGAGGGAGAGACTGGGGAAGACCGGAGACAAGGACACGGGAAGCCATGCTCCGAAGACGGGGCAAGGAGGGGTGGCCAAGACGGTGGTGCCACAGGAGAGTCTCGTGAGACAGGAGGCGACAAGAACAGGGGGCAGACTCAGGACCTGACCGGGACGCAGCAGCAAGTACCTGACCCGACGCAGCCACCTGACCAGACGCAGGGACAGGAGGAGACTCAACGGTCAGGGTGTAGAGACTCGACCCCGGCCGACGCGAGAACGTGGCCAGGTGTCCGCCTGTGCGTGCCTCCGTGCAGTGGGTCACCCGCTGACTCGCAGGAGTGAACTGGTGAACACCCCCATCCTGTAGGTCCGCTCCACTCACCAAGTTCGTAGAGAACGAGGGAAGGTACAGACCCGACAGGGTGCCCGAAGGGGCAGCCGGACACGGGAGGACAGTGGAGAAGTGAGACAGGACAGGACCCCCAGAGGGGTCAGCAAGGGAGACTGCAACCGGCCGGCCGAGCGGCGTAAGGGTAGTGCGGTCTCGAAAGAAGGAGCGAGAAGCTCCGGAGTCAAGTGTGAAAGTGAGGGAGGACGAGGACGACTCAGTACCTGAGAGCGCAGTCTCACCAGTACCTGAGAGCGCAGACGCACTGGCACCTAGAGCAGCAGCCTCACAAGCACCTAGCGCAGCAGTGCAATGCCCGGGTCGGGCTGGAAACAGCGGTAACCCTCATTCTCCTCACTATAATCCACAACATACATAGCAGTAAGGATAGCATCAAAATCAAGATCAAAGATCGCTACACCAGCCCTGAGAAGCTCATCCCAGCGAGGGATCTCACTAGCCCCAGGGAACTGCTGACGCCAGGCGTCCGTCAGACGGCCAAAGCAGCGCTGGGTGGCGTGGGCACCCCCACACTGCTCACCCGCGCGGTCGCTGGAACGAAGAACGTAGGTGCAGGGACCAGTACCCCCACCCCTCTGACGCCCAGCGTACCACTTACGAAGCTGCTGAGGCGAAGGGATGTCCCGAGAGCGCTGCTGCTGCTGCCGCTGCGAGCGCTGGCCACCACCACCGCCGCTACGCTGCTGGGTACCACCCCGACCAGCTCCACCCCCTCCACCACCACTGCCTCCTCCGCTGCCGCCTCCACCGCCTCCACTAAAGTGCGCACGCTCAGAGGTAGGGAGGTGGCGACGCACAGCAAGACGTGCAGCAGCATCGCGGGTGGCCCACTTAGAGCGGACAGCGGGATCAGCATCAGCAGCAGGAGCAGGAGAGGCGCCAGAGGTGAGATCAAAGAGAGAAAGGTCGTCAGCCCTGTCGCACTGTAAGAACAGCTGCAGGTCGTCTAACCAGACCTCAAAATCAATGGCGCGACCCTCAGCGTCAAAAGCTAGGACACTAGGGGTAGCCATGGCGACGACAGCAACGCAGTGCAAGCAGCAGGGAAAGAGCTCGCAGTGTCAGTGGGACTGTGCTCACCAGGCAGGGCAGGTCGTGTAGGTATGCAGAAAGGCGGCTCAGCGACTTGGCGGCTCGGGTGCTGGGCGGCTCGGCTGCTGGGCGGCTCGGGCGCAGGGCGGCTCGGCTCCCGGGCGGCTCGGCTCCCGGGCGGCTCGACGGCTGGGCGGTTCGGGTGCAGGGCGGGTCAGGCGCAGGGTCGGCTGCGGCTGGGCGGCTCGGCTGCGGCTCGGCGGCTCGGCGGCTCCTGGGCGGCTCGGCTGCTCCCGGGCGGCTCGGCGGCTCCGGGCGGCTCGGTTGCTCCGGGCGGCTCGGCTGCTGCTGGGGCCGTGTAGGTAGGGCGGCTGGGCCGCGAAGGTAGGGCGGCGGGCGGGCCGCTGATAGGGCGGCAGGTGGGCCGCAGGTAGGGCGGCGGCTGGCCGCAAGTAGGGCGACGAAGGGCCGCGGGTAGGGCGGCGAAGGGCCGCGGGTAGGGCGGCGGGTGGGCCGCAGATGAGGCGGCGTAGGGCCGCAGGTAGGGCGGCGGGACGGCCGCTGGTAGGGCGGTGGTCGGGCCGCAGAAAGGCGGCGGGGCCGCGAAGGGATGGCGGGGCCGCGTCGAAGTGGCGGGGCCGCGACTGGGCGGCGGGGCCGCGACGAAGTGGCGGGGCCGCGACTGGGCGGTGGGGCCGCGATCAGAACGGGCGGCGGGGCCGCGACTGGGCGGCGGGGCCGCGACTGGGTGGCGGGGCCGCGACTGAGTGGCGGGGCCGCGCGAGGGGGTGGCGGGGCCGCGTCTGAAGGGCGGCGGGGCCGCAAGGGGACAGGGCGACTCGGAGGGTCGCAAAAAAAAGGAATCGCGCGCCTCGGGGCGCGCTTCGGTGGGCCCTAGGCGAAGTTCCCACAGGGAACCTGCTCTATACCATGTGAAACTGAAGAACAGGAATGAAATGACTAAGGAAAGATTGGGTACAAATACAACCCTAGAAACCCCGTACCCCATATGTGCTACCCCACTATAGCCTACAGCAACTATGTCATATAAATCTGACATGAACCTGAGACACGACGCCACGTGCCCAACTGATCATTTGGCACGAAGCGATCGGCAACACCCACGACCGCCGACCCGATGGATATCGACAAGATCGACGCGAAGCAGCAGCCCACAAAATATGAGAAGTGCGAATTTTGCGGCGCAGCAGGACATCCACTCTTGGCGTGTTGGAAGTTGAAGATAGTACGAGCGGAGCTGCAGGGCAACAACAGTGCAACGTCCACGATGGCGAAAAAAGGAGGACACAATGGCGCGAATTTAAAACGCCACAACCAGCCGGCAACAGGGGAAATCGCCGAGACAAATGGAGGCTCCGCGAAACACGACTCTGCACCGACCGGGAAACTCAATCTGAACACCCCCGAGAGTAAGAATATTATCTCTCGAGGTTTTCAAGCCTTTAAAAAATTCAGGGGAGATTTCAAGGCCAAGAAAAAGCCTTCATACATTATTCAGGTACCTGAGAAGTTGGGCAAACCACTCCGGAGCGTTGAAAAGGGTCGTGCGTTCCAAGGAGTTACTATTCTCTCCCCGCAGCATGGTGTTAAGGCTCCCAATTGCCCACAGGAGAAGCCTACACAGCTGCAAAGGCTTAAAGGAAGGTTCCAGGCCAAGACGAAGCTGAATCGGCCTCGGATAAATCCTTCTAACCTTGCTCAGTTGGAAACTGAAATGGAATCAACAACTTCGATCACAGAACCGAGGGATGATCTTTTCGACATACCCTACGATCCTATAAGCGAGACCATCTACGGTTACTCGGAGCAGCAAAAACCACTACTACTCGAGGTGATCTGCAATGGGCCACGCCTCCAGGCAATGGTGGACAGTGGTGTGTCCCACTCGGTGTGCGACTGCGGGACGTTGGAGAAAATTGGAGAATTTTCGGAGGAGACCAAGTTCTCGGCAACAATGGTGGACGGTACGAAACTTCCCATCCACGGCGAAGCATCACTGCAGCTGCACATAGGGGCGCTGAGGTGGAAGCCGACGTTGCCGATCACGAACATCAAGGGCTTAGATTTCATCTTCGGGCGAGATTTCTTGAAGCGGTTCAACCCCGAGATCGACTGGGTCGACAGGAAGGCGTGTATCTACAACAACGAGAAGCGGATAGCGCTGCGAAGGTGGACGGATACAGGGAGCGTTCCTGAAACGACACTGGCACGGTTCGAACGAACAATGAACGAAAGTAACACGGGTTACTTAGCACTGGTCATGGCAGCTGCAGAGGAGGAGAAGCCGAGTTTGGAGCTACCTGCAGTAGTGAAGGAGGTCTTGGAGCAGTACAAGGATATAATGCCCGACGACATACCCGCAGGCGTACCTCCAGCACGCACCCACGAGCACGAGATCGTGGAGGAACCAGGTGCGAAACCCGTCTCACGTGCACCATACCGACTAAGTCCGACCGAACTGACAGACATGAAGAAACAGATAGAATATCTACTGGACAGACAACTGATCCGCCCATCCACCTCTCCCTACGGTGCACCAGTCCTCTTCACTCCAAAACCAGATGGCAGTCTAAGGATGTGCATCGACTACCGCGCACTAAACAAACAGACAGTAAAAAACAAATATCCCATACCACGCATAGACGACCTACTGGATCAACTGCGTGGAGCAAAAGTATTCTCGAAGCTGGACCTACGATAGGGTTACTGGCACATCAAAATGGCAGACAACTCGGTCCACAAGACGGCGTTCCGTACCAGATACGGCTCCTACGAATACTTGGTGATGCCGTTCGGACTCTGCAACGCACCAACAACGTTTCAGGCGGAGATGAATCACATCTTACAACCCCTGCTGGACGAGTGCGTGGTGGTGTACCTGGACGACATTCTTATCTACTCCAAGAACATGAAGGAGCACGTGGAGCATCTACGGAAGGTGTTCGAGATCCTGCGGAAAAACAAGTTCTACGTGAAGCTGTCGAAGAGCGACTTCGCCCTGAAGAAGGTGCAGTTTCTCAGGCACATGGTGAGTGCCGAGGGCGTACACGTGGACCCGCGGAAAATCGAAGCCGTCAAGAAATGGAAAGTACCGGAGAACGTGAAGGAGTTGCAGCAGTTCCTAGGCTTCACCAACTACTACAACAGGTTCGTGCCACAGTACGCTAAGATAGCAGTGCCACTGACCGACCTACTGAAAAAGGATACGCCCTACAAATGGGATACGCCTCATCAGCAAGCCATGGAGCAGCTACACACAGCACTGACTACAGCGCCAGTACTCATCCTACCAGATCAAGACAAGGACTACGTGGTGGATGAAGACGCTAGTGACCAAGCATTCGGAGCAGTATTGATGCACGATCACGGACGCGGTTTGCAGCCCATCGCCTACCTCAGTAAGAAGCTACATGGAGCAGAACTGAACTACCCCATCCATGACAAGGAAGCCTTAGCGATCGTCATAGCCTTCAAGGCGTGGAGGTGTTACCTAGAGGGAGCCAAGACGACTGTCTATACTGACCACTGTAGTCTCAAATACCTGAAGTCGCAGCCGACGCTCTCACGACGACAGGTGCGGTTGGTAGACTTCCTGGAAACTCACTTCCACTACGACATCGTCTACAAGCCCGGGCTACACAACAAGGCAGACGCGTTGAGCCGCCCCGGACATGTAGCAGGCATCCAGCTCGACGGGATGAACCCTCTGCTCAAGGGTCTATTCCAACATGGGTACTCCGTGGACGCAGAAATTGCTACAGCACAGACCAAGAAGCTGTTACAGTGGGAGAAAGACCTAGCTGTAAGGAAGGGTTCAGGAAAGATTTGGGTACCGAATTACGCCCCGCTACGGCAAATCCTATTGGAGGAGTTTCACGACGTACCTTACGCGGGACATTTCGGGAGCAACAAGACGTTAGCAGGGATAGCGAAGTATTACCACTGGCCCGGGATGGCAGCAGACGTGCAGCAGTTCGTCACCTCATGCGACACGTGCCAGCGGATGAAGAGCAGCAAGCAGAAAAAGGCAGGGTTACTTCAGCCTCTACCTGTACCGGAGCAGCCATGGCAGGTCGTTAGCCTCGACTTTATCACAGGACTTCCTTCGACCTCACGAGGGCACGATTCCATCCTCGTAGTCATCGATAAGTTCTCAAAAATGGGTCACTTTATACCGACCAACGCCACAGCTACAGCTGAAGCAACTGCTCGCCTCTTCTTCGACCGCATCATCACCATCCACGGCATCCCCGCTACACTCATCTTAGACAGAGACCCCAAATTCACGAGTAAGTTGTGGAAGGAGCTCATGGGACTGTTGGGGACAAAGCTTGCAATGTCTTTAGCATACCACCCCCAGAGTGACGGACAGACAGAGGGACTCAATCAAGTGGTTGAACAGTTACTGCGCACAGCTTGCAAGGATGACGTCAGCCACTGGGACACACAGTTACCAACCCTAGAGTTCGCTTACAACAACGCATCTTATGCGGCCACAGGGAAAACTCCTTTCTTCCTGTGTTACGGACGGGAACCACTCACACCACAGCAGCCAACCACACCGGCACACGTCCAAGCCGCACATGACTTCATCACCACCATGCAGCAGCTATGGGAGAAGACTCAGCAACGACTCTCCACGATGCAGAACTCCCTGAAGCAGTATGCCGATCGTCAGCGACGTGATCACTCAGTAGCAGTCGGAGATCACGTGCTTCTTGATACGAGCAACTTGAACCTGTCTCACCTCCCATCCAAACTCCGGCCTCGCTTCTGTGGTCCTTTTCTCGTTGAGGCACAGGTGACACCAGTTACATTCCGCTTGCGCTTACCAGATATATGGAAGCTTCAAAACGCTTTCCATGTCCAGCTACTGAAGCCCTACAAGGACCCCAACCAACAGTTCCAGGGACGGCAGCTACCGCCACCACCACCTGTTCTCATACAGGATGAACCCGAGTACGAAGTGGAGCGTGTTCTCACTCATCGGCGCCGCGGCGGCAAGACCCTCGAGTTCCTGATACGCTGGAAGGGATACGACCCCACTGAGGACAATTGGGTTGCAGAAGCTGATATGGGCAACGCACGCCGTGCTCTCAAGGACTATCTTGTCAAGCAGGGTGTTTCTCATGCCACCCAGCTTTGAGGGGGGGACGTGTGAGAGTAGGACGGCTTATGCCAGCTATGCTTGCTTGCCTTTACTTTATTATGCTATTTCTAGCATAGGATAATCATATGCATGCATGAATTGCTTGATTTCCTAGGCTAGGTGCTTTCCTATATTTTATTATAGTTATAGCACCAAGCTAGGTTGCGTGCACCGAATTCTGGCTTTTCGGTTGCCACCGAATTGCCTTCTACCGAATTCGGGAAGGATCTGTTCGAGACGCTTCGCCACCTGCGGAACCTTCGCGTAACACTTGGTTACGGGGCCTTGTGTCGAGCCTATATATAGCCTCGTGTTGTACCCAGGTGATCATTCAATTCAATTCAATTGACATTCTCTTTTCTGAGCTTGATCCTAGATCCTCACACATGGGGGGGGGGGGGGGTTCTTGGCGCAGAAGTCAGCAGGAAGTGCAGCGCGGTAGCGAGTGTCACTAGTGCGGAGGTGCGTAATGAGGTCACCGACTGTGGGAAAGGCAGCAAGGTCAGGGAAGAGGTACGGTAGCATGAGACGGCTAAGTGCAGCAGTGGCAGGGGAGGAGTAGCGCGCAACTACAGCGTCGTACAAGGTCTGAGCATTCTTGTACTGACTAAAGTGCGCACGCTCGGAGGTAGGGAGGTGGCAACGCACAGCAAGACGTGTAGCAGCGTCGCGCGTGGCCCACTGGGAGCGAACAGTGGCGTCAGCATCAGCAGCAGGGGCGGGAGAGGCGCCAGAGGTGAGGTCAAAGAGATAGAGACCGTCTGCCCTATTGCACTGTAAGTACAGCTGCAGGTCATCTACCCAGACCTCAAATTCAATGGCTCTACCCTCAGCGTCAAAAGCGAGGACACTAGGGGTAGCCATGACCACAGTAGACTAGTAGTGCAACAGTAGGGTGGGGAGGGTAGTGCAGTAAAAGAGGCACTGTGCTCACCGGACAGGGCAGCTCGGGCGGCTCGGCAGTAGGGCGGTTCGGTAGCTCGGCGGCTCGGCTACTGGGCGGCTCGGCTGCACAGGCGGCTCGGCTGCTGGGCGGCTCGGCTGCACGGTGCTGGGCGGCTCGGGAGGACGGGCGGCTCAGGTGGCCGGCGTTGTCGCTGGTGGCGGCGGGCCGCAAGGGTGGTCAGGGCCGCGGTGGCGACGGGGCCGAAGTGGGGCCTTAGAGAGGCCGTCGAGGCCGAAGTGGGGCCGTAGCGGGGCCGCAGCGGGGTCTAAGCGGGGCCGAAGCGGGGCCGAAGCGGGGCCGACGGGGCCAACGGGGCGAAGCGGGGCCGAAGCGGGGCCGTAGCGGGGCCGACTGGGCCGACGGGGCCGAAGCGGGGCCGTAGCGGGGCCGACGGGGCCGTAGCAGGGCCGTAGCGGGGCCTAAGCGGGGCCGTAGCGGGGCCTAAGCGGGGCCAACGGGACCGTAGTGGGGCCGAAGCGGGGCCGTAGTGGGGCCTAAGCGGGGCCGACGGGGCCGTAGCGGGGCCGTAGCGGGGCCGTAGCGGGGCCTAAGCCGGGCCTAAGCGGGGCCGACGGGGCCGTAGCGGGGCCGTAGCGGGGCCGTAGCGGGGCCGACAGGGCCTAAGCGGGGCCGTAGTTGGGCCGACGGGGCCGACAGGGCCGTAGCGGGGCCGTAGCGGGGCCTAAGCGGGGCCGTAGCGAGGCCTAAGCGGGGCCGTAGCGGAGCCGTAGCGAGGCCGAAGCGGGGCCGTAGAGGGGGCCGACGGGGCCTAAGCGGGGCCGTAGCGGGTGGCTCGAGGGGCAGTAAGGGCGGCCAATAGGGGCCACTAAGGCGGCTCGAGGCGCTACTCGGATTAGGAGCTAAGTGCGCTCCGGGCAGGAAAAAAAAATTCGCGGTGGGCCCTAGGAACAGTTCCCAAAGGGGAACCTGCTCGATACCATGAGAAGATGTGAACGAGAATGAACTATGAATGAAGTGGGTACAAGTACTAACCCTAATAGGGTTGTACCCCCTATGGGATACCCCACTACAGCCTACACAAAAGTATAAGCTATAATGTTCTGACAAATCGAACATCATCGCTAAACGCAACGCTGACCGCAACCGCCGACCCGTCACTTACCAGCGCGACGACCTCGTTTTACTCAACACCTAGAACCTCCGCCTGCTCATCACCCCAAAACTCCGCCCCCAAAATAGCGGACCATTTCGCATCAGCCACATGATCACACCCGTCACCTCCCTCCTCCTCCCTGTTGACTGGTATGTCAGCCCGTCCTTCCACGTCAGCTTGCTTTGCTCTTACATACCATCCACAAGCCAACTGCCACGCAACCGCCCAGCCAGCATGACACGACCGCCAACCGAGCCAATCATCACGCGCGAGAAGATTCTGAGCCACCGAGTTCGTGACCCACGGGGAGCTCGAAGGATCCAATTTCTGATCCGCTGGAGAGACCGTACGCCCACCGAAGACAACTGGGTTCCCCTTGACAGAATTGAAAACCACCCCGTCCTCACCGAGTATCTGCTCTGCCGAAATTTCCGGGACGTACACGCGATTTCGTAAGGAGAGCCTCCTTAGGAGGGGAGGGGGGGTAGTGTACGGAAAATTCCTTTTCCCTTACTTCGCGTCCCTGCTCAGCGCGTACACCACTATTCCCGCCAACAGGACCCAACAGTAATCCTTTACCACTCGCGACACTCGCCTCGACACTGTTCCCGCCACTGTTCACGACGCGACCCAACCTCACGGTTCGGTTGGTAACCCGCGCTCCGGACCTCCGCCTCGACATTTTCCAACCACATCTCTAGGCCCGTCGCTCACCCCACCTTCCCACTGTAGTTTCGCTATATGTTCTTCGCTCATGCCTTCGCTGATTGTACTCATGCTTCGATAGTGCAATCTTAGTTCGTTCACTCAATTGCACCAACTTCACATATTCTCCCGTACAATATTTTTCCCACCTTTCTTGTCCGCCATTCCCCTCAAACTCACTCTGCCCACTCATCTGCGTCGTGGCACGCGCGGATTGCACGCTGCTCCCACAGCAACCTCAAAGTTGCTGCGCCACGTGGACTCCCCAAGACGACCTTTTCCATCAACCACGGTGTGGTTCCAACGTAGGGTTTATCGGTTCAAAGAGGTTGTTTCTGTTTTCCAGAATCCAAATTTGTGTCGAGCGTAAAACAAGACACCCACAAGCGATCGGGCGGCAGAGCAGACACGCTACTAGTTCTGGCGGCAGCGCGGAAACAAGCTAGCGAGGCGGTAGTGCTGGCAGTGGAGCGTGCGTCTGAGAAGCGACGCGGTATTTATCGCGGATCGCCATGGCAACGTCTTGGCGTTTGCTGCTCAATCGGACGTTGCCCGCTACACGTGGCTGCCACGTGCTCGCAGGTCAAACCTCGTCGCAGCGCGCTCGCACGCCTTTTTCGCTGAGTCGCGCGCTCTTGTCGATAAATCGCAGGACCTTGTTTTTGAATTGCGGGCGCGGTTGACGAATGGAGATCGTTGATCGCATTGTGGTCTGCTCCCACCCGTCCCTCCCCTCCACCAGGCCACCCGCACGCGCATCACTCGCTGCCATCCCCTTCCCGCCTCTCGCGCCTCTCATCGCCGCGGCGGCACCCAGCGACCCTGCACGCGTCTCGCCTAGCCCCCTCCCTCGCCACCTCACCGTCGCTCCTCTCCTCCGCGCCGCGCGTCTCCCCTCTCCCCGCTCGGCGCGCGTCGTCGCGGCACACTTTATCGCGCGCTGCGTCGGTGCGGGCGGCAGCTGACGCGGGAAGCGATGGCGTCGGCCCCGCCACCGCGGAAGGTACGTCGCTGCCCATGTGCGCGCCCGTGATCCTCCGTTGCATGCACTCCACCCGTCGCCCGCATTGCCGCACCCCTTTAACCCGTCCGCCCTCCAACAAGCCTCTTGCTCGTCTGGCTTCCTGCAGCTTCCGTCCTTCGTTGCTCTCGCCCACCTCCCTGGCCCACCTCCCCTACCAACCTGCCTCCTTTTTCTTTCGCCGTTGTGCGCTCGATCTTCCTTTCCCCTCCTCCTCTCACCTTCCCCCCCCACACGCCTTGCCTTGTTTCACCTCTACCCTTCCGTTCCCATCCATCCTCCCCATTATCCACCGTGCTGCTCCCCCACCCTCCCTGGTTTTCCCCGCCCTTTGTCCTCCCCTCCACACCCTCCCTGCTTTTCCCCGCCTCTGTTCCCCCCACTCTCCCTGCTTTTCCCCGCCTCTGTTCCCCCCACTCTCCCTGCTTTTCCCCGCCCTCTGCTCCCCCCACCCTCCCTGGCCCCACCTCCATCGCATCCGCAGCACCCTCACCTCCTGCAGCAGCGCCAGCAGCAGCAGTGGATCCAGCGGTGGCGGGCAGCTCCTTGAGGCGGCGGTTCCTGGAGTTCTACGCGGCGAGGGGCCATGCCGTGCTGCCGTCCGCGTCGCTGGTGCCGGCCGACCCCACCGTGCTGCTCACCATCGCCGGCATGCTGCCCTTCAAACCCGTCTTCCTCGGCCAGGTGGGGTCCCCTCGTTCTCCCATTGCCCCATCCCCCCCACCCATGCCCCCATCCCCCCACCCATGCCCCCATCCCCCCACCCATGCCCCCATCCCCCCACCCATGCCCCCATCCCCCCACCCATGCCCCCATCCCCCCACCCATGCCCCCATCCCCCCACCCATGCCCCCATCCCCCCACCCATGCCCCCATCCCCCCACCCATGCCCCCATCCGCCCACCCATGCCCCCATCCCCCCACCCATGCCCCCATCCCCCCACCCATGCCCCCATCCCCCCACCCATGCCCCCATCCGCCCACCCATGCCCCCTTCCCCCCACCCATGGCCCCATCCCCCCACCCATGCCCCCGTCCCCCCACCCTTGGCCCCATCCCCCCACCCATGCCCCCGTCCCCCCACCCTTGGCCCCATCCCCCCACCCATGCCCCCATCCCCCCACCCATGCTTCCATCCCCTCCCATGCCCCCCTATTTTTCCACCCCATGCTTTCATTACTCCTGTCATGCTCCCATCGCCCCTTCCCCACACCGCAATCCTACAAATCCCACTTCCACCTCTGCGGTGCCGAGCAGTGCGCCCCTTCTATGCCGAGCAGTGCGCCCCTTCTATGCCGAGCAGTGCGCCCCTTCTATGCCGAGCAGTGCGCCCCTTCTATGCCACAGCCACTCAGCACTGCATGCTGCCACCACCGCTTTCTTGCTAACCCTCCTTCCACCTCCCCACCTCCCTGCCACCCCACCTGCTCGCTATACCACCCCCGTTGAATTTCTCTAAAGTGAATCCCACCTGCCTGCCATCCCACCTGCCCGCCATCCCACCTGCCCGCCATCCCACCCACCTTGCCCAGGTGCCGCTCAGCGTGCGTGGGCGACAACGAGCCAGCGCCGCGGTGTGTGCGCAGCAACGATGTGGAGAACGTGGGGCGCACCCCACGGCACCACACCACCCGCCTTGCCATCTGTCCTTCCACCATCCCGCCCACCTTCCACCAGGTGCCGCCCAGTGTGCCGCGCGCCACAACGAGCCAGCGGTGCGTGCGGACGAACGACGTGGAGAATGTGGGGCGAACGGCACGGCACCACACCTTCTTTGAGATGCTCGGCAACTTCAGCTTCGGCGATTACTTCAAGCAGGACGCGTGCCAGTGGGCCTGGCAGCTCGCCACTCAGGAGTGAGCGCAGGGGGGGCAGGAGATGCTCACTGCACTGCAATGCACCGCACTGCACTGCACGACGTGGCAGCACACCTTGTTCGAGATGCGGAAGAAGCTCACTCGGCGGGGCACACTGATCGCCGTCCCCACCATGTACCCTCCTCGCACACTTGCACACATGCCTGCTCTCCCTTGCCTCTTCTCTGCACCCAGCTTGGTGGCCTCACCCCATCTCAACGCTGCCTCATCCTTGAGCCTACGCCACCCCCTCCCTGCATGTGACACGGCATGCGCCATCCATTTGTAATGCGCACTGCTCTGTTCTGCTGCTCTTCCATTCGTGTGTGGTGTGTGTGGTGTGTGCTGGGAGGGCAGGTTTGGAATACCGGAGGAGCGCATCTGGGTGAGCGTCTTCCGTGATGACGACGAGACGTACGCCATCTGGAAGGACCAGGTGCGTGCCCCTGCTGCTGCCACTGCTGCTCGTTCCCACGCTGCTGCTCGCCCGTAGCTCGTGTGTGGCGCGTGCGCAGCGTGCGGCAGGCTGTGTGATCGCGATGCATGTCGCTCGCAGTCTCCTCCATTTTTCTAAGCGCTCACCCTGCTCTGCCCCCTCGTCAACACCAGGTGGGAGTGGCGGAGGAGCGACTACGACAACTGCTGGGCGTTCTCGACTCGAAAGCCACCCTCTCCCTTTTGAGTCGACTCAAAACCTGCTGCACCCACACACACCCTCCCCCCTTTCCCCTCCCCCACCCTCAACACCAGGTGGGCGTGAGTCCAGAGCGCATCCAGCGGCTGGACGAGGAGGACAACTTCTGGGCGAGTGGGCCCACGGGGCCGTGTGGGCCGTGCAGCGAGCTCTACTACGACTTCCACCCTGAACGTGGCATCGAGGGCGCTGTGAGTACCTGGGGGGGCTGCGTTCAGTTCATGCATAGATGGTCTGTGCATGCAAGTCTACTGAATGCAACACAAGCTAATGCATGAGCAGTCACCAGTGCAGCGAGGTCTACTATGGCTTCCACCGCGAGCGAGGCGTCAAGGGTGCTGTGAGTACCTGGGGGGGCTGCTTTCATGCATGGCTGTGCTGTGTGCACGCGGGACCACTGCACCCAGAGCGCAGTGAGTGTTGGCATTGGGCCGTGCGTGCAGCATCACCTTGGGGGCGCCGCGCACTGCAAGCAGGATGGCAGCCCTATGGCTGCCACTCCACCGCCCTGCCCGTTCCATGCACCATGCCCTCTGCCCTCTGCCCTCTGTCCTCTGCCCTCTGCCCCATCGCTGTTCCCCATGCCCTCCTCGCCCTTGCCCTCCTCCCTCAACCCCCACCCTCCTGGCGGCGGTGACAGGATCTGGGCGGCGACAATCGCTTCATAGATCTGTACAACCGCCTTCGGAGGCACCTCACAATGCCCTCTCATCCCCTGCTCCCGCCCCCCACCCCCTAGCGTCTATCTCAGGATATGGGAGACGACTGGCGGTTAATAGAGTTCGACAACCTGGTGTGCATAGAGAGCAACCGCTCTACCCCTGCTCCTGCCCAACCGCCCCCTGCTCTCATGTGCTGTGTGCCTCTCATGTGCTGTGTGCCTCTCATGTGCTGTGTGCCTCTCATGTGCTGTGTGCCTCTCATGTGCTGTGTGCCTCTCTATCGCAGGACCTGGGAGACGACTCGCGCTTCATAGAGTTCTACAACCTTGTCTTCATGGAGAGCAACCGCCGCGACGACGGGGGGTTGGAGGCGCTGCGCTGCAAGAACATCGACACGGGGCTCGGCCTTGAACGCCTCGCTCAGATCCTGCAGCAGGTACGTTCAGGCTGGGGTGCTTGCTGGTGACCCACAGTAAGGTGGGGCGTGCAGTGCAGCAGGTGAGCCGCGCTGGGGTGTGCTGCTGTGGTTATGCTGGTGATTCATGCCTGTGCTGCTGGTGTGGTTACACTCATGTGTCTCAGGTGCAAGATGGATGCGTGAAGTAAAGTAGGCATCCATATGAAGTGTCTCCGGGTGCAAGTGCCAGTGCTGGCGTGTGTAAGCGGGCGACTGCTTGGCTATGTCTCAGGCCAACGCATGCGTCAACGCCATCTACCCCCCATCCCATCTCCCCTTTCACCCACATTTCTGCCCACACATCTCACTCCCATGGTCATGTGGCCTCCCCGGTGCCACATGGTGTGTCCACGTGGCATGCGTGCCCCGGCAGGTACCGAGCAACTACGAGACGGATCTCATCTTCCCCATTGTGCAGCGCGCAGCCCAGCTGGCGGGGGTGGACTACCACAGCGCGGATGAGGACACCAAGCGCATGCTCAAGGTGGGGGAAGGGGGGGGTTGATGAGGGTGAGAACAGCACAGCACACGCAGCGCGTGCTCCAGGTGGGGGGGAAGGGACGGATGGTGAGGGCTTTGAGGGCGGGAGTGCCCGGCCACCATGGCCCTGCTGCCCTCCACCTCTGCTCGCCCTCTGCCTCACACTGCCCACCCATTGCTCTCTCCGGGCCGTCTCGCTACCCACTGCCGACTATGCCGGGGCAGTGCTGCATGCATCTCACCTCACCTCACCTCTCCTCACCTCCCCTCACCTCACCTCACCTCACCTCACCTCACCTCACCTCTCCTCACCTCACCTCACCTCACCTCACTCACCTTATCTCATCTCGCTGCGGGTTCTCCGGCCATGCACCGATCTACCTCCTCCCCCCCTGCGTCCGTGCATGTGTGCCCGGCAGGTGATAGGCGACCATGCGAGGGCCGTGGTGCACCTGGTGGCGGACGGCGTGTCACCTTCCAATCTCGGCCGCGGCTACGTCGTGCGCCGCCTCGTGCGCCGCCTTGTGCGCACCGCCCGCCTTCTTGGCATCAACTCAGGCAGCGGCGCCACCACCACTCACACCGACACCGCCAATGGCAACGGCAGTGCTGCTGGGGGTGGCGACTCTGCCTTCCTGCCAATCATCGCTCAACAGGTTGGGATGAAGCCTCCTCCTTGCTCCATCTGTTTCGCTGCAGCTGCATGCCTGACGCTTCCTGCGTCCAACCCCCCCTTCATGTACCTCTGCCCCTTTTATGTGCCTATTCATCCAGTCCTTCACCTTGCCGTCTCAACCCCTCCATCTCAACCCCTGCATCTCCTCTCCTTACCCCCTCCACCACCTGTTCGTGGGCGGCAGGGAGCAGCCACGAGCAGCAGTGCCAATGCGCCTGTGCTTCCTCCCCTGCGCGCCCCACGTCGTCTCCCCTACCCACCTCCTCCCCCTTCCCCTCCCCCAGGTGATAGCGATGAGCAGGGGCATCAACAGCAACGTGGCGGAGCGCGCCGAGCGAGTGGTGGAGGAGTGCCAGGGGGGGCATGGAATGCAGGGGGGGCTGTGTTTCCTCCCCTTCACGCCCAACCACCGCATCCCCCCTCCCCCCCCCCCCCCCCCCCCCTCTCTACCAGGTGATAGCCATTAGCGCAGACATCAACAGCAACGTGGCAGAGCGCGCAGAGGGAGTGGTGGAGGAGCCACGAGCAGCACTGCCAGTGGGGCCTGTGCTTCCTCCCCTTCACATCCCCCCTGTGCCTCCCGTCCCCTCTCTCCCCCATCCAGGTGATAGCCATGAGTGCGGACATCAACAGCAACGTGGAAGAGCGCGCGGAGCGGGTGGTGGAGGAGCTGAGGCGCGAGGAGGAGCGGTTCGTGGCCACACTGGAGCGAGGGGAGAAGATGCTCGACCTGCTGCTCTCGCAGGCCCTCGCCCACGCTGCTGATGCTGCTGCTGCAGGAGGGGAGGGAGGGGAAGGGGCGGGGGTGGCGGCGGGGGCGGTGTTGAGTGGGCGGGATGCGTTTGTGCTGTACGACACGTACGGGTTTCCCGTGGAGATCACGGAGGAGGTGGCGCGGGAGAGGGGCGTGGCCGTGGACATGGCGGGCTTTGAGCGAGAGATGGCTGCTCAGAGGAAGCAGTCGCAGGTATGTGAGTGAGGATGAGAAGGAACAGTGAAGCTGTCTTTTGTATCAGGAAACTGGAGAGTGGAGAGTTGAGCTAGGAATGTGGGGCGAGGGAGAGGGTTGTGAGCAAGATGTTCTTCTCTCACCGCTTTGCAACAACCGTTGGAGCACTGCGGGTGGGCACTGGTTTGTCAAGCTTCATTTCTCCTCCCTCCAGCCCACCTTGCTTCCGATGCCTCTCGTTCGATTTCAGTCCCTTGCTCGCCTCCTTTCCACAAACTGCCACTTCACCATCTTCCATCCAACCCTCCCACCTGCCCCCCAGGCGGCGCACAGTGCCATCAAGCTGGCAGTGGGCGGGGCAGCAGCGGACCTGGCAGGGCAGGTGCCCGAGACAGAGTTCGTGGGGTACTCGTGCCTCGCCTCCTCCTCGCCCGTGCTGGCGCTCGTCGTTGAGGGCAAGGTGGTGGAGCGCGCAGCAGCGGGGCAGGCGGTGGACGTGGTGCTGGCGCGCACTCCCTTCTATGCCGAGGGGGGCGGGCAGATCGCCGACTGGGGGCACATGCGCGTGCTGCAGGGGGGAGGGGGGGAGGGAGGGGCGGTGGTGCGTGTGCGGGACGTGCAGCGCGCGGGGGGAGGGCTGTGGCTGCACCGGGGGGAGGTGGAGGAGGGCGAGGTGTGTGTGGGGGACGAGGTGGAGGCGGTGGTGGATGAGGAGCAGCGTCTGCGCGCACAGGTGCGGGGTGAGGGCGCCAGTGAGAGAGTGAGGGCGCGGGTGAGAGAGTGAGGGCGCGAGTGAGAGAGTGAGGGCGCGGGTGAGAGAGTGAGGGCGCGAGTGAGAGAGTGAGGGCGCGGGTGAGAGAGTGAGGGCGGGAGTGAGAGAGTGAGGGCGCGGGTGGAAGAGTGAGGGCGCAGGCGAAGGGTGAGGCTAAATTGTGAAATGGCATTGCACTCTCTTGCCATGCCATCTCCAATTATTCCCTCGCACCTCATCCCCATCGCTCCTCCCTGTTGTTTTCCTCTTCGTTACCCTTCCCTTCCTCCCACCCCCTCTCCCCCACCAGGCGCACCACACGGCAACGCATCTCCTACAAGCAGCGCTGCGCGAGCAGTTGGGGCCGGACGTGGCGCAGGCGGGCAGTCTGGTGGCGTTCGACCGGCTGCGCTTTGACTTCCACTTCCCGCGCGCCGTCATGCCCGCCGAGCTCACCGCCGTGGAGGCGCGCGTGAACAAGTGGATCGCCGCTGGTGCTGCCGTCACGGCGGCCGTCATGCCCATTGCTGACGCCAAGGCTGCTGGCGCGATTGCGATGTTTGGGGAGAAGTACGGCGACGAGGTATGCTGTGGGGGGAAGGGGGGGGCAGGGGCATAGGCGCGCGTCAACAGGTGGATTGCCGCTGGGGCTGCCGTCGCGGTCGCCGTCATGCCGATTGCTGACACCAAGGCTGCCGGCGCCATCGCCATGTTCGGGGAGAAGTACGGCGAGGGGGTATGCTGTGAGGGGAAGGGGGGGAGGGGCCTGGGCATGTGTGAAGGGGTGGATTGCATCGTCAGCGCTGTGTTGTGGAGACGCCTGGCACGCACGTGAGAGGGTGGGCACGGGAGCGCAGGGTTCAAGAGAACCTCAAGTGGCGCTGCGAAGGGTGTTGGTGGGTAAAAGCGAGCATGTGAGCCAACTTCAACACACTTATCCCTCTCCTCACCCCATCAGGTGCGCGTGATCGACGTGCCGGGCATCAGCATGGAGCTGTGTGGCGGCACTCACGTGGGCAACACGGCGCACATCCGCGCCTTCAAGCTGCTCTCCGAGGCCGGCATCGCGGCGGGTGTGAGGCGCATTGAGGCCGTGGCGGGGGAGGCGGCAGTGGACCTGCTGCACCAATGGGACGGCGTTGTCAAGGCGCTCTCCTCCTCCCTCAAGGTGCACTCTCCTCCTCCCTCAAGGTGCGCTCTCCTCCTCCCTCAAGGTGTGTCCATGCAGGCCCTTCGTCTCCTCACTGCATACCCACACGTCTGTTCTGCACCCGTCGTTGCACTGCTGCACTATTTGGTGAGCAGCTAAGATGCTGTCCCCTTTCCTTCACGGCACACTCCCTGTGCTCCACATGTTCTTCACGGCACACTCCCTGTGCTCCACATGTTCTTCTCCGCCACGCTCTTTCTTCATGTGCTCTTTGGCGGGTCAACGTGTCTGCATGCACCACGACTCTCTCGCATCTGCCTCAATGCACTGACTCTCTCGCATCTGCCTCAACGCACTGCCTCTCTGGCATCTGGCTCAACGCACTGACTCTCTCGCATCTGCCTCAACGCACTGACTCTCTCGCATCTGCCTCAACGCACTGCCTCTCTCGCATCTGGCTCAACGCACTGCCTCTCTCGCATCTGGCTCAACGCACTGACTCTCTCGCATCTGGCTCAACGCACTGCCTCTCTCGCATCTGGCTCAACGCACTGCCTCTCTCGCATCTGGCTCAACGCACTGACTCTCTCGCATCTGGCTCAACGCACTGCCTCTCTCGCATCTGGCTCAACGCACTGCCTCTCTCGCATCTGGCTCAACGCACTGCCTCTCTCGCATCTGGCTCAACGCACTGCCTCTCTCGCATCTGGCTCAACGCACTGCCTCTCTGGCATCTGGCTCAACGCACTGACTCTCTCGCATCTGCCTCAACGCACTGACTCTCTCGCATCTGGCTCAACGCACTGCCTCTCTCGCATCTGGCTCAACGCACTGCCTCTCTCGCATCTGGCTCAACGCACTGACTCTCTCGCATCTGGCTCAACGCACTGCCTCTCTCGCATCTGGCTCAACGCACTGCCTCTCTCGCATCTGGCTCAACGCACTGACTCTCTCGCATCTGGCTCAACGCACTGACTCTCTCGCATCTGGCTCAACGCACTGCCTCTCTCGCATCTGGCTCAACGCACTGCCTCTCTCGCATCTGGCTCAACGCACTGCCTCTCTCGCATCTGGCTCAACGCACTGCCTCTCTCGCATCTGGCTCAACGCACTGACTCTCTCGCATCTGGCTCAACGCACTGACTCTCTCGCATCTGGCTCAACGCACTGACTCTCTCGCATCTGGCTCAACGCACTGCCTCTCTCGCATCTGGCTCAACGCACTGCCTCTCTCGCATCTGGCTCAACGCACTGCCTCTCTCGCATCTGGCTCAACGCACTGCCTCTCTCGCATCTGGCTCAACGCACTTCCTCTCTCGCATCTGGCTCAACGCACTGAATCTCTCGCATCTGGCTCAACGCACTGACTCTCTCGCATCTGGCTCAACGCACCGACTCTTTCGTCCTTCTTTCCAATCCCATTGTGGGGGCGGGGTTGGGCGAGCAGGTGAAGGCGGAGGAGGTGCCGGCGCGAGTGGCGGCGCTGCAGGAGGAGCTGCGGGCGGCCCGCAGCGAGGCGGAGAGCCTGAGGGGCGACCTGGCTGTGGCGCGCTCCCAGCTGCTGCTGGGGCAGGCAGAGACTGTTGGGGCTATGGGGTGCAGGTGAGGTGTGGGGGAATGACGCTGGGATGGGGTGGAAGCTGACATGAGAGGCGAGAGGGCATGGGAGGGGAAAGGGCATGGGAGGGGAGAGGGGATAGGATGCATGGATGGGAGGTGTGATCAGAGCCCACCACTCACACCGCACACATGTTTAAATTCCATCCACACCGCGCTCGCTATCCCTACCTCCCACCCAACGCAGCAAGCCCATCCCCTCTCCCCCTCCCCCCGTCTTTCAGGGTGCTGGTGGCGGAGCTTCCAGTGGTGACAACAGATGCCCTTTGAGTCAATAAGCCCTTCCCCATACCCCCTCCCCCGCTCCCTCCCTTCCCCCCTCTCGCCCCCTCCCCCTCTCCCCCTGCACCCCTCTCAGGGTGCTGGTAGCGGAGCTGCCAGGGGTGACAGCAGACGCCCTCAAGACGGCCGCAGAGAGCCTGGCGGCACAGCTGTCGGGCGGCAGCAGTGAGAGTGCGGTGGTGCTGGCGTCCGGCAGCAGCGAGGAGGGCAAGGTGGCCATCGTGGCTCTGCTCAGCCCCGCGGTGAGACCCTGCTGCCTGTCCTGTGCTCTAGGTGCGTGGCAGCTGCCTGCAGTGCGCTCATGCTCACCTCACGCTGCTCCTCCCCCACCTCCTGCACTTCCATCCCCGAATCCCATGCACACCAGCAGCCTCTGCACCGCGCACCATTCATTCTCCACACCCCCAAGCGTTGCCTGCTCCAACCCATGTGCCCTTCCGTGTTGCCTGCTCCAACCCATGTGCCCTTCCGTGTTGCCTGCTCCAACCCATGTGCCCTTCCGTGTTGCCTGCTCCAACCCATGTGCCCTTCCGTGTTGCCTGCTCCAACCCATGTGCCCTTCCGTGTTGCCTGCTCCAACCCATGTGCCCTTCCGTGTTGCCTCCTCACCCACGTGTCCCCTTCCTCGTGCCTCACCCACGTGTCCCCTTCTCCCTCGCCCATATGTCCCCCCAGGTGGTGAAGGCGGGCGTGAATGCGGGCAAGCTGGCGGGCGCCATGGCGCGCGTGTGTGGGGGAGGGGGAGGGGGGCGCCCCAACTTTGCGCAGGCAGGGGGCAGGCAGCCGGAGAAGCTGCCGGAGGCACTGGCTGTGGGCAGGGCGGAGCTCATGAAGCAGCTGGGGGCGTAGCGGGCGGTGGAGCAGGCGCATCCCACCCCATGCTGTGCCATCCATGAGCTGGTTTGTCCGCACTGCAGCTCTCATAAGCATACCACAGTCGTGCGGTGAACCATTTTTGGAATTGATGAAGCCTAGGAGGAGATAAGATGTGTGCGAGCTAAGCTTGGATCAAGGAGTTAATAAAAAATCCTTATCTCAACCCTGCCAATGTAATGCATGCCAGCTGGATACCAACTTCATCTCCCACCCATCCCCTTGGCAAGTCACCAACGACAGACCTTTAAAGCCCGCGTCCCAAATTGCGGACCGCGAGGGTCAAGTTTTTAAAACTTGTCGAAGTTGAGTGTCCAAGCTTTTGAAAGTCACACACCTGCAATTTGGGACTTTCAAAGACAGATTCACTCACCAGGGGGAAAACCGAGGGTTGGCTGGGTCTTGCGGAAAAAAAAAAAAAAAAAAAAAAAAAAAAAAAACGAACCTAGACGAAATTGCAAACTCTCGCCAAAGCCTACACCAGAAAAACTCCCTCTGAACAACTTTTAAAAACATGAACAATTTGGACCGCCGGCTTTAAGTAGAGGCCCTCCGCCATACCGGTACACATTGTGTAATGAGTTGTCTCTCCACACAGTCAGCAACATCTGACGTATTGTTAGTGTTGGGCTGAGAAAGCCCTAAGGATCTTTGCAGAGGATAACTCTAGGTAGGAAACTTGTAATTAGCGGAAGCGTTTAATGAAGTTTTGTGAACCGACCTTGCACTAGTGTGTGAGAGCAAAGTAGATTGAAATTAAACAAGCAAATACAAGGTTTTATATAAGAGTACAGGGAATACGAGTAGATAGATAACTGTATTGCTGTTGCGATTCGATACAGTGCGACTCGGGCAACTGCTCTGTAACGAGTCAGTTGTGTGTCCTTAACTGTCGCGCTGTAATTGTCGAGTCAAAGGTCGATGACCTTTGACTTTCCCGTAACCTCCAGGCGGTTACCCTAACCTCCGAGGTTTGACTCGATGTTTCGATTCGGAGTGCTTCGCTAGTGTCTTGGGTTTTGACACGACAGAGGCGCATTAGGATTTATTGTTCCCAACACTCCTCTTCGCTTCTGGAGTGTCGCTGCTGGTGACGTGTGTCAGAACATATAGCTTACTTGTTTCTGTAGGCTATAGTGGGGTATCCCATAGGGGGTACAACCCAATTAGGGTTTCCTATTTGTACTCACTTCGCTCATAGTCATTTCATTCTCGTTCATATCTTCTCATGGAATCAGAGCAGGTCCCTTCCTAGGGACTGTTCCTAGGGCCCACCGAAGCGCGCCCCGAGGCACGCGTTTTTTTTTAGCGACCCTCCGTGTCGCCCTTACCGCCGTGCTCCCCGCTTAGGCCCCTCGTCGGCCCCGCTTAGGCCCCTCGTCGGCCCCGCTTAGGCCCCTCGTCGGCCCCACTTAGGCCTCGTCGGCCCCGCGTAGGCCCCGTCGGCCCCGCTTAGGCCCCGCTACGGCCCCGCGTCGGCCCCGCTTAGGCCCCGTCCGCCCTGCTTAGGCCCCGCTACGGCCCCTCGTCGGCCCCACTTAGGCCCTGTCGGCCCCGCTTAGGCCTCGTCGGCCCCGCTTAGGCCCCGCTACGGCCCCGCGTCGGCCCCGCTTAGGCCCCGTCGGCCCGCCTAGGCCCCGCTACGGCCCCTCGTCGGCCCCGCCTAGACCCCGTCGGCCCGCCGTAGGCCCCGCTCCAGCCCGCCGTCGGCCCCGCTATAGCCCGCCGTCGGCCCCGCTACAGCCCGCCGTCGGCACCGCTACAGCCAGCCGCCGGCCTCGCTACAGCCCGCTGTCGGCCCCGCTCCAGCCCGCCGCCGGCCCCGCTACAACCCGCCGTCGGCCCCGCTACAGCCCGCCGCCGTCCCCGCTACAGCCCGCTGTCGGCCCGCCGTTGGCCCCACTACAGCCCGCCGTCGGCCCCAGCTACAGCCCCGCTACAGCCCGCCGCCGGCCCCGCTACAGCCCCGCTACGGCCCGCCGTCGGCCCCGCCGCCCGTGCTGCAGCCCGCCGCGCCACCGTGCAGCCGCCCGTGCAGCCGCCCACCGTGCCGCCCGTGAGCAGCCCTAGCCGCCCGTGAGCCGCCCGTGCAGCCGCCCGCGCCGCCCGTGAGCCCCTGCGTCACCCGAGCCGCGCGAGTCGCCCAAGCCGCCCGAGCCGCCCGAGCCGCCAGAGGAGCCGCACTCCTGCTCCTGTGGGGCCACTGCTGCTCCTGGGCTGTGTTACTGTGCCGCTGACCTACCCGACTTTTCCTGCCCGGTGAGACTGTCAGCTGCTGTCATGGCCACCCCCACTGTCCTAGCTTTTGACGCTGAGGGTAGAGCCATTGACTTTGCAGTCTGGATTGAAGACCTGCAGCTGTACTTACTGTGTGATGCGATAGATGAGGTCTCTCTCTTTGACTTTGTCTCTGGCGCTGTCCCTGCCCCTCCTGCTGATGCTGACCCCGCCGTTCGCTCCAAGTGGGCGACCCGCGATGCTGCTGCACGTCTTGCTGTGCGTCGCCACCTACCTTCCTCCGAGCGTGCCCACTTTAGTCAGTGCAAGACCGCTCAGGCCTTGTACGACGCTGTAGTTGCACGCTACTCCTCCCCTTCCTCTGCTACACTTAGCCGCCTCATGCTACCGTTTCTCTTCCCTGACCTCGCTGCATTTCCCACTATCGCTGACCTCGTTACCCACCTCCGCGCTAGTGACGCTCGCTACCGCGCTGCCCTTCCTGCTGAGTTCCGCGCCGCAAACCCTCCTCCCATGTACATCACTCTCTACTTTCTCGTCACTCGTCTCCCTGAGTCCCTTCGTGTAGTTAGGGACCAGTTTCTCTCTGTCTGTCCCACCACCCTCACTGTCGACCTCCTTGAGGAGTCCCTACTAGCGGCTGAGAAGAGCATCGTCGCTGTAGGGGCCTCTCGGGGTGACCCTCGCACCCCCATTTTTGAGGGGTGTTCTCCTTCCCCCCTGCTGCCCTCTGTCGCCTCTGCCGCTGCGGCCGACCTCGCTGGTTTTGAGTCGGTCGGTGCGGCGTCTGCCCCCAGCGGTAGACGCCGCACTGGCAAGGGCAAGGGGGGCAAGGGAGCGGGTGGGGCTAGAGGGGGCGGTGGCGGGGGAGGTGGGGGTGGCGGGGGGAGTGGGGGTGGCGGTGGAGGTGGTGGCGGGAGTGGAGGTACTGGTGGAGGCGGTGGAGGCGGAGGTGGCGGCGGAGGAGGTAGCGGAGGAGGCGGGAGCGAGGGTGCCGGTGGGGGCGGTGGCGGTGGAGACGGGGGTGGCGGTGGAGGCGGGGGTGGCGGTGGAGGCGGGGGTCGGAGTGGCTCGTCTCAACGGAGCGGCTCTGGGGGTGGTCAGCGCCAGCAGCAGCAGCAGCAGCAGCAGCCACAGCAGCAACAGCGCTCTCGCACCGTCCCCGCCCCTCAGCAGCTCCGTGAGTGGTACTTGCAGCGTCAGCGTGGTGGTGCGTTTGGTCCCTGCCCCTACGTTCTTCGCACCGGCGACCGTGCGGGGGAGAGGTGTGGAGGCACCCACACAGCCCGCCGCTGCTTTGGCCGCCTGACCGACGCCTGGCGTCAGCAGTTTCCGAAGGCCGCTGAGATCCCCCGCTGGGGGGAGCTGTCTAGGGCTGGTGTAGCTGTTTATGATCTTGATTTTGATGCTATTCTTTCTGCTATGTATGCTGTGACTGGTAGTGATGAGGATGACTGTTACCGGTGTTTCCCGCCCGACCCGGGCATTGGTACTGCCGCGTCAGGTGCTAGTGAGGCTGCTGCTCTAGGTGCCAGCGCGTCTGTGCTCTCAGGTACTGGTGAGTCTGCCCTCTCAGGTACTGTGTCGGCTTCGGCCTCTCACACCTTCACCCTTGACTCTGGAGCGTCTCGCTCCTTCTTTAGGGACCGCACCACTCTCACGCCACTGAGTCGGCCGGTTGCGGTGTCCCTGGCTGACCCCTCTGGGGGGCCTGTCCTGTCTCGCTTCTCCACGGTCCTTCCGTGTCCGGCGGCCCCCTCTGGCACCCTGTCTGGTCTCTACCTCCCCTCGTTCTCGACGAACCTAGTGAGTGGTGCTGACCTACAGGATGCGGGTGTCCACCAGTTCACTCCTGCTCGTCAGCGGGTGACCCACTGCACGGAGGCTAGCACAGGTCGCCACCTGGCTACGTTTACACGTCGGCCAGGGTCGAGCCTGTACACACTGACCACTGCTTCTCCTCCAGGTGCTGAGTCTGGTAGGGTCCCTGCGTCTGGTCAGGTGTTTGCCGCAGCGTCCAGGTCTGGTCCTGAGTCTTCCCCCTGTTCGTGTCGTCGTCTGTCTCACGAGACTCTCCTCTGGCACCACCGTCTTGGCCACCCCTCTCTGCTTCGGCTCTGAGGCATGGCCTCCCGCCTTCTTGTGTCTGGTCTCCCCCGGTCTCTACCTCCCCTTCCTCAGGGCCCTGGCCCTGCCTGTGTCCCCTGTGTCGAGGGGCGCCAGCGTGCTGCCCCTCACTCCTCCCAGTTTCCCTCGACAGAGGCCCCGTTGCAGACGCTTCACATGGACGTGTGGGGCCCAGCCCGCGTCCGTGGACAGGGTCAGGAGCGCTACTTCCTGCTCGTTGTTGACGACTACTCGCGTTACACCACAGTGTTCCCCTTGCGCAGCAAGGGTGAGGTTACTGAGGTGCTGATCGACTGGATCCGCGCAGCTCGTCTTCAGCTCAGGCAGAGCTTTGGCTCCGACTTTCCTGTGTTGCGTTCGCACTCGGACAGAGGCGGAGAGTTCTCCTCTGGCCTTATGCGTGCCTACTGTCGGGCGCGAGGCATCCGCCAGTCCTTCACGCTTCCGGATTCCCCGCAGCAAAATGGGATTGCTGAGCGCCGCATTGGCATGGTCATGGACGTCGCCCGTACGTCCATGATGCATGCGGCTGCCCCCCATTTTCTGTGGCCGTTTGCGGTCAGGTACGCGGCGCATCAGATCAACCTCCACCCCAGGGTCTCCAGGCCGGA